TGGGCAGAGGCGGCCGCGGCGCCGGAGCCGCCTCGGGGCGGCAGGTGGGTGCGCGGGGCCCCCGGGCTCGTCCCCGGCGGCCGCTCCGTGGGATCCTGCGCGGCTCCGTGGCGGGAGGGCGGGCAGGGAGGAGGCGGCAGCGGCTCCCGCCTATGCGGGATGCACCGGGGCAGCCTCTGCCCTCGCTCCCGGGGGGCTCCGGGCTGCCCTTTGCCTTCAGCAACGCGGGGCTGCCGTGGGAGAGGAGAGGGAAGCCGCTCGCTTTTCCTCGTGGCTGAAAAGCCCCAATTACGGCTCTTCTGGGGGAGAGGAAAAGAAAAAAAAAAGAAGAAGAAAAAAAGCTTTTGATTGTTTAACTTCCTTTCGTGATGTCTGGCCTTATTAATCCTCCCTTGGGCTGGGGGGGGGAGGGTGGGCTTTATTTCACTTGAAAGTCATGGAAACTCTTTGTAGTTAATGCCTCTCCACTGTTTTCACACGCAATGTTACTTTATGTGAGTGTTTTTGTGTAATTAAGCGGGGAGTCCAGTAGCTTTGAGAATGAGCAGAAGTGGCAGAGTGATGCAGTCTGCGAGCAGGTTTGTTAAGTGCTCCGTAATCTCCTTCAAGCACGCTTTCACCATCCCGTTTAAGACATGTTGGATGCATTAACTGGAAAGTCTTTACTGCATAGTCAAAGCTTTTTAATGCAGAAGTCATCTGATTTTGTTACAGTAATTAGTAATATTTCATAGTTGCGCTGTTATTGACTTTACTAGTTCAGCAGTAAGATGTTTACATTGACAATTAAGGAGGTAATAAACTACTTTTATGTTTCCACGTTCGGTGTTTGCAGTTGTGACCTTAAAAAGAGAGAATGCTGGTGAAAGTCTCTTATATCTTTGCCTTTTAAAACCTTGTATAGCCTCTGAAATGGTTAAAGGGCGACTTGTCTAAGTGTAGCACATTAACATTGCAATATGTTAACCAGCTCAGTGTTTTATAATTTACGATCCTTAAAAGCTCTTTTGGAAAAGAACAAACGCTACATGTTGGTATAAAATGGAATATGGATGTCTTAGTTGTGGACTGTAAATACTTCATTTTTCACTCTTTATATTTAAATATGTTGGTCAGGATATGTGGAAGAACATAGATGATTAGCCATTTTACATCACTTTACCCACATGGATTGGAAATAGCACTTGCAGGTAGCAAACCCAAGGATGAACTACGGAGGTTGTTCTCAAATTTCGCTGATTATACCCTTTTGTTCACACTGGGCTATCGTAGCTTCTGTAAGTACAGTATATGATAGTAAAGACACTGTGGAGATGTCATGAAGTAGGGAATTAAATTATTATTATTTGTGTTACTTCTGTAAAGTAGGTACTTCAGTTGATATGAGTCAAAGCATATGGTACCCATATGGATCACAAATGTTCCCCAGTTATGTGGAAACCTCCTTTCTCCTCCCCTAGCATGTAAAATAGATAAAAAAAAAAAATTACTTTATATATCCCATGCTGTTCCAGTTCTCATCCCAGCCATGCCAAGTACTTTCCCTTCTCCCACCTCTTGTCCATGGGGYGCTGGTGCTGCTGACACCATCTGGCTCTCGTTGTCATTTCAWGCACGCACTTGGCAGCTGCAGGTGGAAAGCAGAGCCCTTGGAAGGGAGCAGGAATTCTCCTATCCAGTGGTACCAGAGACCTCTGGCAAGATGAGGTTGCTGCGTTTTCAGGCCTCTACATTTTATCCAGAAGCTCACAGGCCACCCTTCCTCAGTGTTACGCAGAGCAGGAAAAGTGGCCAACGAGTGTGAGCATCAATTCAGATGTGGGACATTTGTAAGATCTAGGAAAGTGGAGCCGTTTGGAAGTTGGAACTCTTCACCCCTTCTGTAGCTTTCCTTGCAAGATTCTTGATGCTGGCTTCAAAGTTTTGATGTTTCTATGCATGAGAATATGGCCAACAGGCCTCTGTTTCATTGTGCTACTATTGAGTCATGAGATGACGTGTCTTTCATAGCAAAATTTCTCTCTTTTTTATAGGGAAGTAAATTTTTCTCTGGCAAATTGACTGAGAAATAGAAGTAGTAAGTAAATATAAGAATTTTTGAGTGGTAGTAGATTATAGGAACCAGGAAGGTTGGATGTTCTTTACTTCCATTATACATTATTATATATTTCTAATTTATTGTTGCCTTCCTGTATGCATGCATGTGCCCATGCATAATCTTAAAACTATGCAACCATGTTTCAGRATGGGAGAACTATATTTTGAGTGTGTGACCTTTGCTTGTTTTTCTTGATATATTTTGGGCTACCTTGTGACTCTTAAACTAAAAGGATGCATGTGGAATGAATTACTGACCTCAAAACACGTGTCCGCAGCTTTATTTCATTTAATAAAGTAAAATATCTGAACTTACTGTTATAAATATCAGCATTTGATCAGGGAGAAATAACCTTTAAATGCACTGGACTTGAATTTGGAGGCACACATTCTAGAGGCAAAAAAAAAAACCTCTAGTTTTTACTTGAATACATATAAGAAAAATGGCTTGTGTCCAACTGACATGAATGTAATGCCATTTGATATCAAGAACGAACAAATTTGCCCCGTGGCRACCTATTATTAAATGCTGCAATGTCTGCTTTTTAAGCAGAGCTTTTAACCAAACCAAAGACAGAAACAGGAAACAAGCAGTTGGCATAATTACGCCTCCTTGGGGATTTGCTTCCAGTGCAATGAGTTATTAATATGCTTTAGCTTCTTGTATTATTTTTATCAAAATGTTATTATGGAAGCAGTATTTTACTCTTTTGTACCTTTAAGGGAGGTCTTGTACACTTTTTTTCCCCCTTTTTCTCCCCCTATTCTTTCTTCATATGTGTCACCTTTGTTTTTCCTTTGTAGTAGGATAATAAGCACAATTGTGTCCTACAATATCTCACACAATCATATATATCCCTGAAAAGGTCTGCATGGCCTTTGCCCAAACTTCAGTGCTTCAAGTGCAGTGAAGTTTAAGGCCCAGGTATTTAGAAGACCTGAATGTGAATTATAAAAGACATCTCATATCTTCCAGATAATTTATCATAGTCTTCAAGCTGTGAGATTGCATCGTATGTGTAATGATAAGTCAGCAATTGTGAAGCCTAGTAAACTGACTTGGATGATTTGGACTTGGAAAAGCCCATGATAGTTTGATGCCAATTCTAGAATGCTTGATTTTGGAGATCTCCTCTGGATTTTAGTATTTTGGAACTCCTGATGTTTGAAGGTGTTGGATTTGGCAGTAGAATTTTTTTTTTTTTTTTTGATAGAAAATATTTCAGAGTTGCAATAAATGTTCACAGCTAAGTCAACAGAAATATGTTGTTCCAGTATAGTTTGCCTCTACATATGCTACGTTCTATAAATCTTTGAATTTTAGGCTGCAAGATCACCTTRTAACAGCTATAGCAATTCCATGAGTTACTGTCAGCCGGACCATAATTTGGCTTTCCTTCTTTACTAGCTACTTTAAGAATTCACATTTATTTTAATCCAGTTATGACTATAGAATATTACAAAAAAAAGTAAAAATCTATCATTAACTTCATTTCAATACTGATTTCAATAAATTGCTTATATGTTACCTAAAATACTTAAGTTACAGGTTATTACATAGTGGAAAATGTATTGGATGAGTGAGACTTCRTAAGTTAATGTCATTTTACTGCAATAATATGTCAAATACTGCTGTTGCCAGCTGATAAATCAGGCTGTTCTTAATTTTCTTTATTTTTCCATACCTTAAATGGATTGCTCAAAAAAAATCATGGACTGTTTAGATTATGCCACAGTAATATTGCACTGCAATATTGCAGTTCATGAGGCTTAATGTAACTCAGTAAAATCATTTGTATTGATAATTTCTGATCAAACTGGAAATAAAAATATAAACTTGTTGTGTTTCTACTTCTAACCATATAAATACTCCAATTTTTGAGTTTTTGATAGTATTATGCATATATGAACATAAATTASAACTATGTTGTTTTACATCTCAAGAATATTATTAATATATATGATCAATATAAATTCATACAGCTTAGAATAGTCACTTGGCATTCAGTTCTAAGCAACACAAAGTTACATCTCTTTTTTCAACTTCGCACTTATGTAATGTTTTGCTTCCTATAGCAAATAAGAAAATATAGAAAGAATATTTTGTTCCACAGGACTACCATAATATGGTTTTCAAGAAATCAGTAGGGTTTGTCTCCCAAATGCCTTTASTTTTAGTATGATACTCTGAATTAATACTTACTTCATATCATTATTGCTGCCCTTCCCCCCCAAATCTCTTTGCTATCTCATCTTTTTGATCAAAAAACATATTTTCCCCCATAATATTGTGCCAAAAGATATTTATTACATTTCTATTCTTCAGTTGTCATTTTAAAATATTTTAAAACCTCATCATACTTGAATCTCTGTAGCATTTCTAAATGTTAAAAAAAAATGAATAACAGCAGGCTTCAGCCTTTCCCACTCCTCCTCAAGGTTAGTGAGGTGCAAAGTCTACRGTTTGCTTTAGGTCTAACCTAACCAAACTTAGCAGATCCTCACTAATCGGGCAAAGGATACCTTATCTTTATATGGTGTGCTTTTCCCATCTTGTTATTTCTAAACATAGCTCACAGACTCTTCATTAAACACTTGTATTTCTTTAAAAGTAGTCTTACTATTTCTGTCCACTGTTTGATCTATGCTATAGCTAGAACTGTTTTCTTCCAAGGTGTTTTTAATTTTCCCTGTTGCAGTAGCCCTGGAGCATCTCATACCAACTCTGTGGGGTTACTAACTTTTGAAGTATGTTGATACTCCTTTTCCAATTTCAGTTTGTTTTATAGCACTTTTTACATCAAACTGTTCCATTTAGATCATCCAAAATTCTTTGAGATTTCTGAGTTCACATTTTTCTGTTTATTCCTTAGCTTTGAAAATGTATCCTCTCTATATCTGTGTGTGCTTGTATGGCTAGGAATATTTTGTATTACTAGAAGTATCTCTCCTATTGTCTGTCTGGACATGCATATAACCTGATTTCATTGGCAATTACTATCATTAACTAAGAAATAACTATACAAAATTAGCATTTCTTTTCTTGGAAACTTTTCTTAAAAACTTTTTTTTTTGGTATTTTTGTTGGCGGGGAGCAGATTTTAGCTAGCTATTTTTACTCTTTGAAGAGTAATATGTCTGAAAAGCTACCAATAGTGCTGCTTGTGTAGTTCTTATCAATTAGAACTCATTACCTAGAGTGTCCTTGCAAAAAAAACTGAAATTCATATTTTAATTACAATTTCTGCCCTTTTTGATTATTATATTTTTATAGTTTACCATGCTTTCTTTTGCTTCTTATTGTAAAATATTGTGCAGCTGTCCTTAATCATTTTTTAAACTTTTGTTGATCTCTTCTACTCCTAAATAATATAAATGGTTAATCTTCACTTTTAAGTTGTTCTGATTGAACATCAAGTACTGAAGCTCTGAATTAAGCTAAAAATGGTCTAAACATTATTTTTCACATCATGTAGCTGAAAGAAATGGTCCTATAATGTAGGCAAATTAGGATCAAATTCTTGCTCTCTTGTAATCAAAATAGSCCTTTATGTAAGCTGGATTTACTTAATTTGTTCTTGTTGCTGTACAGAAAGTTACACTTGTATTGCCAGATAACTTACAAAACCAAAGAATGAGAAAAAAATAAACATTAAGGCTCCGATAAATCAGAGGAAGCTCAACAGAGGAGAAGTTTTGTTGGCCGAGCATAGCATTTTTAATGATGACTATGCTTTTGCTAATCTAAAAAATGTAATTCCAAGTTAGCTCTTCCATTCCGTGACAGATTCAAATTGTTTCCCTTTGAGTTTGCTTCATCATTTRTTTTTTTAACATTCCAAGCAAGGCTTTAAGGACTTTTTTTTCCTCCCTTTTCTGAGAATGGTGAAAATTTCTGAGGCAGGACAGAATTTGATTGTGCTGTTTAAAGCGTCTTCAGTATTGAACAGCCTATGATTGCCTACCTGATCCTAGCAATCATGTTAGCACGCCTTAAGAAGTTAAAATGCCTGAGCTAAGGCAGTGAAACAGCTCTTGTGACTGCTCCAAGTTTCTTGTGGAACAATAAAAAACTTACCTGAGCCACTAGGTACATCCTATCCTGCTCCACAAYGTGACACAGAAGGAGCATCCATGTGGTCAGCTCCTGAGTTTTGGCTGGTAAGCTGCATATTTGAGGAAATTGCCAAATTGACAACTTGCCTTCACATAAAACCTGACCAAAACCTCCTTGTAGGACTAGTGCTRATTTCAGTAGACTTAGAGTAAAGCTGCAAACTGACGCGTTGCCTGTAGTGGGTCTATTATTTTTGTGTTAGGTGGCATCTAACAAGCAAGCAAGGAACATTAGACTTCAACACTGAGTGTCAGAAAATGCTGCATGTACAAATGTTGAGATTCTCCTATATAGGCTGGTAGCAGTATCATCTTGGGAATGGAGTTTATTAAAAATTCTTTGATGGAAAATAAAACTATAGAAACTTAGTCTTTTTAGCCTTGCCTCCTAAAAAAGGACAAAATTTCTGAAATAAATTCCTGGAGGCTACATAGCGAGCATATACCTGAAGTATTTTAATGGCATTAAAAACATGTTTTGATGTGCTGGAATATATAAAGTACAGTGGATATATGACTTTGTTAAGATATAAACCATTATGACCTATAAATAGGGTTTTTTTTTTCTTTTTGTATTCTAATTCTTCTGAAGGGAGAAAAGTTTAATTGGAAGAAATGGACACCAAAGGATTACTTGGAGAAGATAAATTGAAGATGGTTATTATTTTACTAGCATATTCAGTAAGTAAATAATTAACATTTTTCTTCAAAATGTATGTTGAAAAGTCCTTTTGTTTGACACAGGAGCATTGTCCTTTTTTTTGTAGTTTGCTGGTAATAGTCAAAGTCTTAAGCTCATTTGCACAGACTATTATGTATGCATTTTATCAATTTAACAGTGACTTTGACCAAATTATTAAAAATAGCAGCAGTTAAAAGGAATCTATTTCATGGGGCTCTTCATATCTTTTGGRGACAGAAAATATAAATGAATAGAGTGCTATGGAGATGGCAGGGTTCCTGTGCACTAAACAGTGACCATCCGTTAGGTATACATAGGTAAGGCAAGGTATACATAGTTTGAAGTTTTGGGTTTATCCACTTAACAAAGCATAGTACACAATTATATTGCCTCCTAAGTGTACTTAAACACTGACTTGCAGAGACAAGTCCTAGGACTAAAGGTAATTAAGTCTTCTTAGCTATCAGAAAGACTTTGGTCTTTCTGAAAAAAATATTAGGCAAAGTAGTAATTAGCAGCAATAGTGGAGAGCCATTTCTGTGATGGAAGCCTATAGTCATTTAATTTATAGTCTTTTTAAGAAAMAGCATGAATTTAAAGATCTGATTTAGAGAAGATACGCTTGCTCAAAGTTTACATAAAATGTATTTTACTTTATTTATTTATTTCCTGAAGTTAAGTAGGGTAATTGGTGAGACTGGAGACTGCAGAGAGCAAGAATTTAAGGACCATGCTGGGAATTGTGTCCTCTGCAAACAGTGTGGACCTGGAATGGAACTGTCAAAGGTAAGTATATAATGATTATGATAGGTAGGATCATAAAGCAAGAAAGAAGTAGTTGCAGTGCTCAATGCCTGTTCCGTTTGGGTGCAGAAGACCGTAGCCTATTCTCTAGTTTCATTGATGACATCTGAAGGATGATAAAGGCAACATTTAGTGTATGATTTGCATGGAATGAAATTTAATTTTCAAGGTTGTTTGTGTAGGCAAGCATGTTATTATAGATCTAAGGGGTATTATGGAAACTTAATTTTTTTTTTAACATGAAACAGTGAAAAGTCTGTGAATGTGTATGTTTAAACAACAGAAGAAGCTTTCAACTTTGTGGCTTTTTATTTCTTACTATATTCAGCTCTTRAAAAAGTACAAGAGAAGCATTGTGGTTTGTGGGTCGTTTGAAGAGTTTTCCGTAAAGAAGTGCTTAAATGTAAGAATTAGCAGAGGGTGGCAGTTTCATGAAACAACATGGCATATTTTTCCTTTGCTTCTACCCTCTGCTGCTAGTTGTTAGTACATTACCAAAAAATATTGTTGCCCTTTACTAGGGATTGTTTTTGTTAGGTAGGATTGGTTAGAGACTAGTCCTCTAACAAGGCTAATGAAGCAGAGATTTTAAGGAGGCTAATARTATGATGTGTGGGAGTGGTTTGTTTTCTTGTTTTGTTTTTTTTCTTCAGTTTGATGTTTAATTTGAACAATGAGAGATATGGGAGGATATGTTTTATGGAAGCATTTATAAGTATGGCACATTATTACAGTGATCCTACTGAAGCAATACTCTACATTGCTRTAACATACTCATCTCGTTGGCAAACTAAAAAGAAAAGCACAAAAACAAATCTCTTCAGTAATTATTTATAATTCACTTTCAATTTAGTGAAAAATGCTAAAATAAAATTGCAAGGTCACAATTTGCAGTAGTATGCTATTCAAGTTATGTTTTTAGCTTAATGATTTTTATCTTTAGCATTTGATAATCATCCTGTTTCTTAGGTTGGAATGAATAATCCAATCTGAACGTTTAAGGTGTTACTGCATCCGGTCATCATTATGCTTTCTAATATTTTTTTTTTTTTTGCCACTGCGTTAGAACCAAGATCCTTGAATAGACTTTGCTCAAACCTGAATGTGAGTGAAAGCATCAAGTCCTTTATAAACAGAAGTATGTTTTCCTGTGAGCCTTAGTTAAGGATGTAATACTGTAGTTGTTAATGAAATGCAATTGAAGAGGTAGCCTTGATGAATTACAGCTTGAAGGAACAAAATATGTTAAGTCAAAGGTCAGAAAGTGAAGGAAAAACAATTTAATGATATACATGATGCCATTTTCAACACATTCTTTTAATATATGAGAAAGTGGTGGTGTAATTAAAGTATAGTTTAATAAGCTTCCTGTTAATTATCACAAATAATCAATTTTCTTTTTAAATGTTGAGCACTCATGTAACATGTTATAGGTGAAACTGGATAGATACACTGCTGAATGTGTGAGCATAGGATTAACAATATAGTAAAATACAATGTTGCCTTTTTTGCTTTAAAAGTGTTTATTTTAAGCAGTTGACTGGCTAGGTTTCTTCTTAGGTTAGTAACAAAACAACTCAGCCTATATTATTGTTAGATACAAAAAACTTAGCTACTGGGCCACGTAGCAATGCTTCATGCAAAGAACCAATGCATAAGATATGTTCATGTTGGTATCTCAAATCTTTCAAAAAAATTGTAACAAATTTAATCCTATTCATATGGAGTCTCCTTCTCTGGAGATCTTCCAAAGCCGCCTGGCTGCCACCCTGTGCCCCGTGCTCTGGGTGTCCCTGCTGGAGCAGGGGGTTGCACTGGGTGATCTCTAGAGGTCCCCTCCAACCTCAACCAGTCTGTGATTCTGTGAAATCTGGTCAAGTCAGGCTGTGTGTGACAGCCCAGCCTGTTACTAGATCACCAGGTGCCCAAAACACCCCAGACCTGCTTCAGCAGGGTGAGCAAGTGTGCAGGGCCAAGGGCCCTCTGCGCAGGACCGCCGCTGCCTTCTGCCCTGTCACTGCGCTCTTCAATGAGAACTTACACTGAGGTGGTTTTCTGGGGCAAAGCTGGTTCAATACCAAAGTGCCTTTCATAGGATCAACCTTTTTAAACAGTACTACAAAATCTGGTCTAATCTGATATTCTTTTTGTAAGATGTGCTTAGTGCAGAGAAAAATCTGGTTTTCTTTTTGTTTTTGTGCTTTTTTTTTTTTTTTAACTATACATTTTCTGAGTCTAAGCCAGGTATTTATACATATATATATATTTATAAATCCATACAATATATATATAAATCCATACACACACACTTGTATTTTTATGACTACCGACCTGAGTTATTTATATGACCTATGTTGCTAATAGAAYATAAGCAGCTCATAGTACCTTTGTAAATCGGAGAAATGCTGTTACTTTTTCTCAATTGATTCACAGAATGCACAGATAGCAGCTTGCCCATGGTAATGCAGGAAGCTTTTGGTGGAACAGAGTATTCAAATTTTGTTGAAAACTAGTGCTTAATCTGTTGGATTGACCTTCCCGTTAGATAAGCAACTTCAGACATACTTTGTAGCATGGAAGAAGTGGAAAAAATAACACATTTCATGTAACTGGTTCCTGATCTAAGCTTTTATTGAGATAAGTTTTGTTACAGCCAGRCTGTTCTTCTCAGCTATTTCTATCCAAATGCAATAGGAGCCTCTTCAGGGATGTTTTTTCAGTAATTCTTTGTTCCTTAAATAAAAGCAGTACCCACTAACTTCTTCCTTCAGATTCCCACCATCACTAGAAATCTTTTAATAATAGCACTTCAACTTTTTTTTTATTTTAATGCAGTATTTTATGATATTTAAATCATATAAAATTTTTGCAATTTTACCAACAACTTGGAATTGGCAGAGAAGGGAATGAAAGCAYCATATTTGCTTCTCTTACTGCTTTTTTGCTTCCATTTTTTCATTTAAAGACATCTGTATAGCTTTTTTATTTCTTAGACATGATAATGATGTTTAACTTATAACAATATCAACTTGATAATGTTACAGTTAAGCAAGTATTTAAATATATTCCATTCTTTAAACAGCTTTAAATTTCCTGTGCCTGAGTAGCTGTTAGTGTGGCTTGGATGATAAGAACGCTGTTTATCTTATCAATAAGGTGTTTCTGTATAAATTTAACTTTATTATTCAGATGTGTATATGTATCACTATKAAGAGTCGAAAATAAAGTAGGGTAGCTTGGGTTGAACAAAGGCACCACCATTCGCTGAAAAGCTTCCCTTATAGAGGTTGTAGGCTCAAGTCCTTCCAGTCCATTCACCATCGTTTGCTCTACAGCTTTCTCAAGCTCTCTTGGGTCTTGTTTTATTTTAACTTATATATGAAAACACAGTATATAACTCGTGCCCTCATGAAGCTTGGACTGCAACTCAAAACTTCTGTGTGTTTAGATTTTGTCAGAAGATCACACATGAGGCTACTTTATCTTGAGACTGTTCAAATATTCTTGTAATCATGATGACCTAAGTGGAACTTCCCAGTGCTCTATGGTCTGGGATTTACATAAGTTGTGTAATCAGTTGAGCTCAAAACAATCTCTTAAATGTCCTTACAGACTACAATCTAAATAATGCCTTAAAACATTTTTTAAAAATTAAGTTGGAGGTTGTTTTAACTGAAATATTACTTAAAATATAATTTGCTTTTGTTTACTGTTCGTTTACTTTCTATGCTGCATTCAACTTTTAGGGATAAACCATAACACTACATTACCCTTTATAGTCACCTTTCCTTCCAGTTCTTTTGTGTGGATCAGTATTTGCATAGCATATACTGAAAGAAAATGTTTAAAACTGTCAATGTAGCACTTTAAAATGCATTTTTATTATTGCATGTCTTTTTAATATTTTTTGCTGAATTGTGAGCTTAGTTACTTAGTTTGCTATGGATTCCTAGGTGACCTTGTCCAACCATCACTCATTTGCTACCTTAGTGAAAAAGAGTGTTTCTGGGGATAATTATGCTGCCTATAATGAAATATCACTGTACGCAATAGCGAAAGCTGAATAAATATCCACCAAGTAGAAGTACATTTGCATTTTTAATGAATTTTAATGCTTTTTCTTAAATAAGGTTTTTTTTAGTTTTTTTTTTTTTTAAGTTGGGTCTCTGTATGAATGGGATAAATTTGCCCTCATTTTAACATGCTTACTTCCATGGTAGCTCTGAAAATGGGAAACAGAAAGGGAAAAAATGGACTAAGTGTTCTTCATAGCATGCTCTGCAATAGGAGAAATAAATATGCTACATACTTTTCCTTTTTTTTCCTCTCTTTTTACACAAAAATATGCTAGAAACTCACATAATGGAGATACAAGAATTATTTCTCTCTTTTGCTTTCCTAAAATGATCTACCGAAAGATATGGGCCCTCTTCTCAGAAYGTGGGTGGAGAGAGAGGGAAGATGAAGAGAACTGGGAAATATTCGGTATTCATCAGCCAAATAATTTGACAGCTCTGTTGTTGTTTGTGGAGCACTAAGCAACGTGGTGCACATCCGATTTGTACCAGTATTAATGGAAGATGAACAGTCAATTGTTTATATCTTTGATGGACTGAGGAATTTATAAAGTCTAAGTTTTCAAAGGGTTTGATTCCATCATCTAAATCATATCCTTCAATTTTGGGAATGCATTGGATCCGAGTATAGACCTACGTGAAGTTCTGCCTGGCTTACAAGCTTAAATACGTATTTGTATATGTGCCAGGCAGTCAACAATGTCAAATATTATGTGAACATAGAAAAGCCCATTTTACAGCTGCTGTGGATTATTTCTGCAAAATTTCTGGCAAAGAATTAGAAACCATCTTTGGAAACACTGTAGCCTGTGAAATCCTTGGATAGAAGTCTTCTTTTTATTGTACCCACCATTTTCAGCACTGGTTTATAGTAATAACCATCCCATGTTGCAAAATGCCASTGAGCTGTGGCCCTATATACAGCCATAGCATAGCACAGCTGATAGAGCTGGAAACAACTTGCTGAAGCTTGGGCAGTTTGGGTCAATGAGTTAAAGACATCTAATTCTAACTCTGTTTCGTTGTATTTGCTTGTTTTTAATTGCAAACTTCAAAGGTTGTCTGGAGAGGGAAAGTTATAATTAAGTCAATTTAAGGCTCATGCTGGGAAATTTCATAGGATTTGGGAGGGACTGATTTTGAGTGATTTATCTAAAGATCCGCATGTATATATAATTTGGCTGAGCTATATAGTATAATCCCTTAGAGCACTACTACTATTWGAAGGATCTAAATACAAAGTATGGAGTAGTTGTTTAGCAAGAATGTATCGGGGAGTAACTAAAGTTAGTGAAAAAGATCATTTAAACGTAGGAAAAGCAAAATTTCATTACTGAAGTTAGCCTCATTCCTATTTTAAGGGGTAATCATATAATTTRGTATATGTGCTTGCAGTTTCATCAATGTGATTGACTGTAAAACTGATCCGAATAAGATATTGTGGACAGCATAAAAGAGAATTGCTAGAATCTTCCTTGGTTTGGACATTTGATTCCTGTAGGAAACAGGTAGTTTTGGAGTAAATTGATAGAAAACATCCTGTGGCTGATATCAATAAAGAATTCATTGTTTTTATTTTTTTAGTGCACATTTGTCTGCCACTTTTAACACAGGCAGTATAAGGAGCGGCCATCTTTAGAATATATGAGACTGTAATATTTTTGGTTACTAACCACGATGAATTTTCCGTTTATTCCTTAGTCTGAACAATAGTCAATAGGAAGAAACTACATTTTTATTAAAAAAAAATCTTTCTAGAATCTTTCTATATGTAAGGAATAAGTTCATGTGCTTTGAGATGGAGAAAGAGGAATATTTTTAATGTGTATTTGTAGTTGCCTAGAATTGCTCATTGTGTGTATATTTGAGTACGTTTTCTCCTCCAAAGAACAGCAAAGATATTTTTCACATAGAGAAAAATGGGAAACTTTTAATGACCAGTAAAATGCAGCTTAAGGAGCTGTTTATTTTAGGAACTTCATCAACTCATTGCAAATATGAGGCACTAAGAAACTAATTGGCCAGCTTGGATCTTGTTTCATGGATGTATTCCCAGAAAAACTTAAGCCCCATATCCATTTGTAAAGTCCAAAGCTTCTTGCAGTTTTGCCTTTTGGGAAGGTGCCCTGTACTTCCACTAGGGCTACATGCTGGGAGAGTGGATCCCAACGTGTCTCTCTTTCCTACTTACTCCCTTCCTGTCAAATTCTCTGCACTAATTTGTGGTATTCCTTTTGCTGTTATGTGGTGTGTTGGTAATGTAATGAGTCTGACTTCAGAATGCAGAAGAAAAACRTAGGATTTTCAGGTGAGGAAAAGAAATTAGCACTACAGGGGGGAAAAAAATCAGAAAATTGATGTTTCTTTATAGTCGGTCTATAGAATTCAGTCYCTGAATGTGTTTCCTGCCTCTGGGTTCTGTTAAGTGTCCCTTGGCAAAGGAATGGAAAGAATTTCTTTAAACAAGTACATTTGGGATAAATAAGCAGCTCTAGCAATATTTCTTGTATAGTAAAATATAACACTGTGGTATAACGTGAAAATAACCCTGTGATCCACTGAGCTGTTAAGCATTTCCAGCAGGTCTTAAACTCTTAGAAACACAGCTAACTCCAGCCCTAAAATTTTCAGGGGTTAAGCAGTATTTCATGCCTTGCTGATGGTCATTACCCGGCTCTGTTTTATTTGGTAACAGAGAGTCGCASCCTTTGAAGATCAGCAAATTAACTTGCTGCTCGGCAATTAACTTTGTTCACCTTAGCTATGAACCTAAATATCAAAGTGCTCCTTTGCTGCTTTTGTAACCGAGTAAGTGCCTTTATGCTGCACTTGTCCCACTTTCTGCACTTTCACATGACTGGCCTAATTAAAAAACAGACAGCTCAATAATTCTACCATAAGCTAGTAATAATGAAACTGTGGGAGTCCTTGAAGCCCTTTATCATTCAAATACACAGTGGTTTCTCGAATAAAGTGGATGACTAAGTATTACTTATAGAAGTAAGGGAGATTATTAGCAGTGGAAGACACATTTGAACTTGCTGAAAGGCTGGCTTTTGTCTCTAGAAAGAACTACTCTCCGTGATAATTACACTAGGTCTTCATTTTATCCCAGCATTCTCTCCCTCTTCACGCTTTCAGTGTTTGAATGGTTTGCTCTTGCTTGTTAATCCCTCCAGGAATGCGGCTTCGGATATGGGGAGGATGCACAGTGCATGACATGCAGGTCAAACAGATTCAAAGAAGACTGGGGCTTTCAGAAGTGCAAACCCTGTCTGGATTGTGCCCTCGTCAACCGCTTTCAGAAGGCCAACTGTTCTGCCACGAGCAATGCCCTGTGTGGAGACTGTTTACCAGGGTAAGTCCATTTCTCAAGGTGAAATTTGGAGATCAAATCCCAAACTGGTTTGCATTAACATTTACATGGTAGCATTTTCCAGATAAATGACTGGGTCATTAAGAGTATGTTTGAGGATCCTATGTTTTAATACTGGCTTTGCCAGTCATCTACTGTGTGACTTGAGTGCAGGTTCTCTTAGTTATCTCATTTATAAAAATATTGTTTGCTTAATTACCTGACCTATGATAGCATTGTTTATACAATCCCTGAGTAAATAATTTTAAAATATCAAATATTACTGGTGAATTACTTAATCGTTATAAAGAATCAAACACCTAATTGGATATTTCTAAATTGCAAATAAATTTCAACTCAACTTCTTGCTTTTGTTTTCCCAGACCATTTTAAGTAGTATTTTCATGAAAATACTAATGTCCGCATATTTTTGAACTTTTGGCTTAGCTTCCCTTGCCCAGCCTAATATTTAACATTTTCATTATCACAGTGAAATACATTTATGTGTTTTTCATATATGAAAAACTTAAAGTGGGTGTAATCATCGTTTGCAATGTTGAAAGTTTGAGTAATGCAAAACTAAGTTGCATACTATATTCTTTGCTTGAATGAGTTGCACAAATTTGAAGCTTATTTTAGTCAAACAAATTCTGTAATCAAATCGACGCCTTTCACAGTGCATTTTAATATCCAAAGTGGTTAATATAAATAAGAGAGGGGGAAAAAAGATTTTTTTCTTGTCCTCACAAGAAGTTCATACTCTTGCTGTTCATTCTCACAACCTTCATAAATAAACAGTCAATTTTCTTTTCCTGGGAAAGGAAGAGAGAGTTTCCCTCCAGTTTCACTTGAACTTAAATGGATCATCACTAGGAAGGGGACAGGGACACAGAATCTTATGAACAGACAGGAAAATGGCTCCAGTAAAGAGATGCTCTTTCCACTCACTCCTATAGGACTGCAGCTTCATTTGACAAGAGACCTCTTTGAAAGTCTTGCCCAAAAGGGGAAGTAAAACTTCGCTGAGTATCTCTTGAATGCTGGATGCATCCATAGAGCATCCATTAATTACATCATTGTCTGCATTAGGTATAATTCAGTGTTGGGTGAGGAAAATGAAGGAATCGCAGGCAATGCTAGTGAGTGTCTGAGTTACACTTTTATAATTTGATCACCCTGAAGCTAGCTGGAGTCTTGGTGAGTTCAGTGAYTTGTGCTGAAGTTATAATTACTCACAGACCTTGTTTATGTCTGTTTTCTTCTTTACTGTAATATAGCTTGAGGCAAAGTCTAGAGTGAGTTTTAACTACAGATAACCAAATAGCAACTCCGAATATTATCATTCAAGCTTTGATCCTCCACAGATTTATGCACATGCCAACTTGACTACCTACAACTTGAGGAAAGTATTCAATGCATAAAGTTAAAATCTGGCTTGTCTTTCCAGTGGGCAGATTCTATGACCTATGACTTCTGATGTACAGATTTCTTTTACTATACTCAGTRCTTGGTACTAAAATATATTTGGAAACATACAATTGCCTTCCTGACAAGTGGTCACAGCATTTGCTTGCTCTTCTCCCACTTCTTTAGGGCAATGCCTATCTTGGATAATTCTCATTTACATATGCTTTTAGGTAAGGAGTAATGGCTGTGGTTTATGCTTCTGAGTTTCTCTCACGTAGTTGGTAGATTGGTAGAGATTGGTAGAGATCCATGGTCCTGGATATGAAGGAAATGTTTTAGAACAAGTTATAACAGTATCACAACACACTGAAACTCCTGTAAATTGATTCCTGTGTTTAACTGGTCGTCCTGCCATCCCAGTCCTCTGTTGTTATATGATCTTCTCCATCTCTAGTGTGAGATTGTAAGATCCACGAGAGACTATTCTTTATAACAGTGGAAGTTAAGCACAATGTCAATATCTTCCCAGAGATTCATTAAAAGCCATTTCTGACGCTTTGCTTTTGGAGCTGTGAGTTGATAGTTTCTCTGGCAGAAGTGGGGTACAAGATTTGTTGCAATTGTGATGATCTTTGTGCTTTAAAGCTGTATCTTTCAGAGATCCTTAAAAGCTCATGCAAACCTTTCCTTGAAATTTTTGTGTTAGTAAAAGTTGTAAATTTTCTGAACACTTTTAAGCTCCTATAAATTCTTCTCAAACCAAAAGTGAGATCTTTTCCTCTAAAACTATTGGTCATAATTCAATAAGATGAAGTCTCAGGGGTTAGGTATTACAGCCTCATTTGATACAGCTTGATTGATTGATTTATGTTATTATTGCTTATTAATAAGCTAGTGTTGCAGGGCTTATCTGACTGTCAACAAGGAGAAAACTTTCTTCTCGTGGCTTAAATCATATTTTGAGTGAAGGGAGAGGAAGGGAAAAAGAAACAAGAATAAAAAATGAATTGAGGGTAAATACTTGTGATCTCCATTTTTTTTCATGGTTTGAAATATTCTCTATCCAAAATATATGCATTTCACATTTAAGTAGCAAGGTATTGGATAACATGGAACAAGGCTTACAAGATGATTTTGTTAATTCCCATTTGCAGTCCATGCATGGTGTAGTTTTGGGGGTTGTTGGGAAGGTTGTTGGAGAAGAAAGAACTGGAGAGAGCTTGTTGGATTGTTAAAACATTGCTCCATTTATCCATTTTTGCTCTTCTACTACAAAGCAGAGCAGAGAAGCTGAAGTTTTTTGTCATGCAGCATGTTTAAGTCATTACTTTCTGTGTTCTCTCTGTGATTAAAGGAGTTAACCATTTGATGAGTCATTTTTCTTCTGCGAGCAGGAGGATGTCTTGGGTATTTTAACCAGATCTTGTTAACAKCTGGTGTAGTATGTACTGACAAGGTTGATAATTACTTTGTATTATATTTATTCCAGCACTGTTTGACATGCAAATAAGCTTGCATAATATAAATTCACCATGCTTTTTCATACATTGTGTATGTGACAGCTTTGTCATTACAAATTATTTTCTTATCTCCTAGATTTTATAGGAAAACAAAGCTTGGAGGCTTCCAAGACATGGAGTGTGTTCCTTGTGGTGATCCGCCTCCTCCCTATGAACCTCACTGTAAGTGCTCTTTACTTTCCATTGAAAAGGGATTAACTTTTCTAGTTAAGCTTTCTGTTTTAACTCCACAAATTGGCAAAAAATGACATTCACATAATTGAATGAGGCTTTTAAAGGCTCATTTTCTTGTTAGTAAATTATTTTCTTAATGCATTTCAACACTGTCATGAAAAAGTTGCCTTATATGATTGGTCACTTCCAGGTAAAATACCCTTTGTCGTATCACATGATTAAGAGGTCTTGAGACCCATTCTGATCCTCTCACTAATTTTAATTTCCAATTTCTTTTAATGCTAATAGAAAGTTAGTTTTACCAGACTCTGTTGATTTGCTCCAGTTAGTATAAATTCCTTCCTGGTACCCAAAATATGTTATTTGTTGATGCCTTTAAAATCAACTTCTATGATAAGGCTACAGAGAGAGATAGAACAATATAGATAAATATATTTGCAGTGCTATATATCTTAAAATGGAAATGAGCAATCAGTCCCTCTCTTCCTTTTTGGCCAGTGAGAAGGTAAGAGGAAAGAGCATTCTTGTTCCTCAACAGAAGTCCTGTTGCACTTTTTTTCAAGACTGTTCATTGTCTATGTCCAGTCACATTTTTCATCAAGTAAAATAAATAAATTGTTCCTGTTGCTTTTATTGCTGTGTGGTTTACAGTATGAAAAGTAAAACTGAATCCATGTGATGTTTTGGAAAACCTATGTAACAGGGTTTGTTTGTCTCTCTCTGTAGCTGGAAAGCTGTGCTTTAGGGAGGTTTTTTCCCCTCTTCCAAACAGATGGAAAAATGTTTATAGTAAAATGAACCAATCGGAGTCTAAAATGTTTCATGCTACTTAACTAATAAAAGCACAGTTTATTGTGAACATTCTTTCTTTTTGAACTATGCATAATTAGACTATAATCAAATATATGCACTTTTGCATTAAAACCAGTCATATTTTAAATTATTTTTGATTAAATTCAATTCTACAGCATTTTGTATGCTGAATGGTCATTTTTCAAATGAACTTAACTTCCTCATTCAACTTCGGTTCTAGTTTTAGTGACTTTTGTTGAGGGTGGGGAAATTAACCTGAGAAAAACAGGTTCTTACAGGGTATATTTAAAAGTTATAATAAAYGTGGCTTCCTGTGTATTTTTTTCTATGGTTTGAGAGATTTTTCATTACATCTCTATGAATCAGAATAATTTAATTTTTATTAAAGATTGAAAAGCAGTAAGTCAGACTTCTATAACAAAAAGAATAAACCAAGTAAGTTCTGTATTTTCAGTAGTAACTGCTGCCCAGGTATGGTGTAGATCTGGAAAGTAAACTGGAAACTTTTCAACTAGTTCTGTGGCGTAAACAATTTAATATGTTAAGATATTTAGAGCAACTCTATTCTTTGTAACAAACTCTGTAAGTTTTGATGCTAAGAATGAAGTGTTGATCTTAATTTACTGGAGCAACTCACTCCAAATTCAGTGAAGTTACAGAAAGCAGTTGAGTCAGAATTTTCAGAATTTCAGCCTCAACAAGCAATTTCATCTGTATGCTTATTTTAATTTACCTAAATGTTTAAATTAAATATTTACATCTTTTATTTACTTTTATTATATTTTTGACTACAGAAACAAAATACTGACTGTTGAAATGAAATGTGCAGCAGTGTGTTTCTGATYTAGGATCTCTACCTCATAAATTAATTTAATGCAACTTTCCCTTTCTTCCCGGTTGCTGTGTTCTTGTGTGAAAGCATGTTGTTCAAACACGAATTCTGCTCTCTGGAGTAATCTAAGCAGATAAGAATAATAACCATGCCCTCCCTCTCCTTTCTCTCGCCTCTGACTGCAGCTAGTGCCTCGTCCACCCGTTTCCGTTGTTCGTTTAGAGTCACTCAGTATCCACAACAGGCAAAATCAAAGCCTCAAGTAAAAGGTCAAATTGAAAATGCAGTAGCTTCATCTAGAGGGAGGTTCACAAGGAATCTCAAATTTTGAAAGAACGATGACCGGATTTTCCTGCACTGTTTAGCTTATAGCACTTTGGCATTTTTAATTGAGTCTAAACTTGAATCCAAATTAAACAGGTTAGGAAGCTCATACTAACACTAACTTAAATGGGCAACAGACTCACCATAGAAAAGAGCATTTTCTTTGGCATAAAGTGCAATGGTAAATCCATATTTTAATTAGAGAATCTTTTTTTCTCATGGCTTTGACAAAACCTTCGACTAAATAACAGAAGAAATGCCAGCAGTTACTTGCTTTTCATATTTCTGGTAGCAAATTATAAGAACTGGCAGGTGAGTGCTTGTAGTTCTTACAGACTTAATAATAAAAAGAAGTTTGAAATCATTAAAGTGTTCTTTATTTACACATGATTCAACTATTAGAGTCTTAAGTTAAATCCTACCATGAAACAGAAAATGCCACTGTGGTTTTCAGAAGAATCTCATTAGGGTTYTGTATATTGTTTCTGCAGTGCCTCTAACATAAGTTGTCTCTGTTCAGGAAAGTTTATCTGCCATCCTCAGAGCAACTTACATTTGTGTTTGTGAAAGTTTCTCTATATTCTCATATATTCTCAAATTTAAGAATAAGTAGGAGGGAAAAAAGTTTATTTGTGGAAGAAGAGATGTGTATGAAAACAACCCTTTTCCACCTAATGATTAAAATGTTTGCTCTTTAGTAAATAATATGTTAATTAACTTAATATTTGAGCTAGCCATACATACRTCCATACATCCATCCATGACCATAATAAAAGTTTAAAGAAGTACCACAGAGAGTGTGGGCAAGCTCTGAATGATCAGAGAGCCAAGATCTAATTCTCTACCTCCTTTATGCCTTTTTCTTTCTAGTGTGAAATAGAAAGACAAATATTAGCCTGGCAAACTCTTGTATTACAGATGAAAAGGAAAAGTTTAAATGTCCGTTTCAAAGAATGAATTGTTTTGGGAGGTGCATGGCAAGTCTTTATTTGCCTAAGAACACTACTTTAGGGGCACAAAAGTTCACAGCCCCCTACCTGGACTGCAGGTTCATGTTAAAGCTGGGACATGGATGAAGTCCTCTCTAGCAGTTGATTATTACCCAGTTAGCTATAAATCTAAATACTTGCTTTTATCTTCTTTCTTTTTGTAGACATTTTAAAACAGATCTGGCTTAAATATTTACTTGTGGAAAAAAAAACGAGTTTGTGAATTGCTAAAGGCAAAGTTGAAAGGATTCTATAATGAACAAGTAAAGAGGCCAAGAGAAGTGTTATCACCTCTGTGTAAACTTTAAAGGGGAGACAATAACTTATGTGTGTTTTCGGATATTAAAAAATTAAGTACACAGTGATATAGTTATATTTTAATATGCTGAGTTCAAGTAAATAAACCATAAATACCAGTCCTTTATATTTATGCAGTGTCTAAACATTAGAAAGCTTGGTTTCCAAACTGCAAAATGGCTATTTATGTTCACTTTCCAAACTGAAGACATTGTTTGCACGAGAACCGAAGACTTTCAGTTTCAACTGAAAAGAAGTTATCACTCCTTCCAGCTCTAAGCACTATTAAAGATGGCATTTCTGAAGTAGAAAGTAGTGCAGACTGTTCCAAACTTGTACCTCCTCAGTGGAGAAATAGTGACTTAAGAGACTTAGAACTTAGATGTGGTTTGATGACTTTTTTTTTTTTTTTCTTAGCAACATTTTTGCCTTGCAAAGCTCACTCACTTTCCTGTCTACGTAGGGCAATGCTGTGCTGCTTGTGCTGAAACTGTTCATGAAACTGCTCAATAAATTAGTTTGTGAATCTAACTGATATAAAAATATACATAACATTAAAAAAGTAGGGCTTTTTTTTTTTTAATTTAATGCATTTGTTAGCCCCTCAAACATTTGTGCTGGCACAAATGAAGAAATTATCTTTGCTTGCTTTGAGCAAGCGTTAGGTTTTCAACTAGTCTGCCTTAGCAAATGAACAAAATATGGTATGGTAGCAAACCATACTCCTTTTTCCAATCATAAGATGACAGATTTAAAGTAAGTAATAAAATGGATCTATCATTTTGGTCATATCAGCTGTTCTTGTGAGGAGATACAATTCCGGTCATATTTTTCAATTATTTTGTTTTTCAGTTTTTCAAATCCAAAAATGCAGATCCAAATCTGCATCATTATCATCCAAATAGGCTTTCTGGTGAGCCCTAACTTCGAAATTTTTAAAGCTGTGTTTAAAATATAGTTCCCATGTAGTTTGTTCTTCCACATTAATTGGCCTTTCTTGGCCAATTTAGCAAAACTAGATGTCTTCGGTAGACAATTTGTTCTAGAATTTGACCGTACAAACAGCTAAATTTGAATAAGTTCAGAGGTTTGGGAGGAAAGAAAAACATGCTTGAGGATTTCGTAGCAAACCCACCACCAAAGTAGCAGCAGCCTTGTCCTTTTCCTCTGCAGCTTCCTGCACCGTTATATTAAAGAAGCAGGTAGGTCCAACCAAAGGCATTTTTCCTTCTCCACGACTCTGCTTCTCCCCATGGCATCAAACAAGGAGCATGGGGCAGAAAGGTGGAGGGATAATGTTCTGACGGAAGCTTGGGAAACCAGCCCCTACATGTTCCAGGAAATAAACACCTTCTCTGCTTCAGTGAAGCAGAAAGGTTTTGTTAAGTAAGTCACAGTGGTGGAAATATCTGCTGTTTAAAAGTGTAGCATTCTGTGCTTTCGAAGTAAACCTGCACTCGGGTCTGAAAGTCTAACAGATGAGCCATTTTTTCTAGTATTGAATTCATGATTGTTTTGGATATAAAAAATATCTCTAAGTAATACAATTTTCAACTAATACAATACAATACTAACTAATACAAATTTCAAACTAGAAAACAAACTTTTTTTTTTCCTCTTAGTAAAGAATGAAAGTAAAGATCACTACTTGTTGCAGACAAAAGACATATAGTAAATACATTAAATTTTGATGCGAGGTGTCTGTATTGACAAGATTAGGATCTATGATTTTT